ATGGCGTGCCCCCCCCCCCCCCCCGCATTGCGGGGTCTGGTGGCACTGTAGTTCCGCCCCTGCTACTAAGACTATATTTTAAACCTAATTAATAAATATATCACTTGTTATCTGCCTATTTTTATAGTCGGTACTAGTGTGATAACTAGTGTGGGCCTATATATTTATTCTTCTTTTAGAAACTGAAAATATGTGGATACACTTCAAACAATGGGTCAATGAAAATTGAATAACTTGCAACAATATGTGTGGTTAGGGGGTCGTTCATAAATGACGTCACACTCGTGGGGGGATAGGGGGGGGGGTCCGTAATTTTGTGACGGTGTGTGATGAGGGGTTCAGATGGTGTGACGTCACTTTTGCATTAAAAAAAGAGCTATGTTACAAACGAGTTTTTAGCCGTTATTTCGCGTTTTAGAAAACTGTTTTAATAAATTATAATAGGAATTGACTAAAATACTCGACGTTGACAAGATTTTGGAAAAATATCGATTTTTTAAGAAAAATTCAACTGCAATTCCGAGGGTCGTAGTAGGCTGACGTGTGACGTCGTTTTAGGGTGGGGGTGGGGGGTTAACGCTATAGTATACATGTTCTGTGGAGAAGATGTTTGATGTTTCCAGATCAAAATAAACTTTCCGCACGCCTTGTATTATTTCCAGTCATGTATAGTATACATTGCGTAAGTTTGAACGTGGTGTAGTTCAGGGGTCGGCAACCTGCGGCTCTTTTGATGTCAAGGTGCGGCTCTCAAGTTCCATGCACAATGATTAATAATTATATTGTTTAATTTTCTAAACTCATAAAAATATTATACTGTAAAGAAAAACAACTTTAAATTAAAAAAAAAACAACTCATCAGACAGTGAGAATAGGTGAGGTAGAAAGTAAATGGACAGCTGACTGCCGCTTTGGCACCAGGCCCAACCCCACAGCCGTGCTGTAGCTAGCCCAGTGTCGACTATTCCGTTCCTGCCATTGCTGAAGTGCAGACTTTTTCGAATATCGTTAAATGGGTAATGTTATTTTATTCAGAATGCATCCCTCTGCCGAAGTATTTTAGTTATTAGTATTTTACGGTGGAGCCAGGTACTGGACTGTGGGGAACAAGTAGGGTGGAAGATAAGCACTGTGAAAACCGAAAGACAGAAGCGACCGATTCAGTTATTTATAGTTATATAGATCTATATCTAACTCAGTCAGAGTTATGGCTATGGGAGACACCTCCTGAGCCAGTAGTGTCCGTAAAGAAAAAAAAAGTTATTGGCTTCTAAAGTGGATTGGGATTGTCCTGTAGTTATGTTATTTAATAACTAACTTAATCATAGCAGAGCTAGCTGAAACACTTTTTTGTGTGTTTTTCTATGAATCAATATTAGTTCAAATTTAACGGTATTTATTTCAAATAAAAAATTAAATTTATTTACTTAATTCTAATCAAATGCCAGAATATTGGAAAAATAATGTTAGTGGCTCTTTAAAAACTGGGAAATTTTGTAAATTGTAATTTTTGGCTCTCTAAAGGTTGCCAACCCCTGGTGTAGGCATACTAGACTTGCATATAACTTGAACGGATGTCACTCTCCAAATTGATGTCGTGTGCTACTAATTTAGGATACAACTGTCTGTGTTAAAATGATAAAAAATAATTATACAATGTTAACATTTTGTGTTAATTTAATATGAGCAGATAAGAAAATTACAAATGGTGCATATAGGTAGCAAACATGAAAAAACCTGTCCAATATTTGTTTTTTCTTTGTACAAGTTATCAGTTAATATATATAGTAAAATCGTAAGTAAAAATGGTCACACAAATATTTTTTTCTTCAATTTTTTGTTTAAAAAAATATTGTTTCTCTCCATTCGTTAATTAACAAACATTGAAGTTATGTGGACACTATCTAACTGATAAATTATAATAAACTACATTTAGAATAAAACCTAATCCTGACAAAGATTTAGAAGTTTTTATATATAAAGGGCTAATTATTTATATTTTGGTAGCAATACAATGGAACATTAATAGCATGGTGCCTTAATGAAATTGGTTTCAACTTGACACATTTATTCTGGATCTTTATTTGTGTGAAAATATAGCTATATTATTTTCTTAATTATTAGTATATATATATATATATAAATGTAACTTTGACATTGCTGTAAATTGAAAAATTTAATGCTTAATCTGGTCTAATTTTTGTTTGAAAAAAGTTATGGCCGACTTATAAAAATAATTGGACAATTACAAAACATAAAGGGTAATAATATAAAAAACAAACAAAAAAAAACACCCCATTGTTAAGGCTGTGTGAGAAGGTTGACCTCGAGCTCCACTACTAAGTCCGATGATTTAATAACAAGCCAAAAATTATATTACTTTACTTATCTCAAACGAACTCTTTAAAGATTTTGAAAAGTATATATCACAATATTCTATAAAAATAAATGGTAGTATTTAAAAAGTTTAAAAAAAAAATCCCTATATTTTTTTTGGGATAACAGTAACATATGACATAATATATATGACTCATATGCTTGATTAAATTATTTTTTAAAATTTAAAAAAAGCCCAAACTATTTTGATTGATGAAAAATAGTTAAATGAATTGCATTACACCAAGAATTTTTTTTTAAAAGAATGAGTGTCATTCAGTAGGAAATTCTACAAAAGATAACATAATTATATTTTTTATATTTAAACATGTAGGGATCTTATTTTAAAAAATATGCACTATTAAATTCTATTGAGTAAATGCATTTTGAAAATTCCAGAAAAAGTTATCAAGTCATATAACAATATACCAACAATTTTCTTTTTTACACTAATAGCAATGGAAAATCATAAGTTAATAATTATAATAAGATTTAAAGCTGCAAATTGTAACTATAAACATAATAATGCTTAACAGAGTACTTAAGTCAATGGTCCAGCCATTGTACAACTCTTAATCCCTTTCTAATATTACCATTCTTACTGTAAATACATTTTTAGAATGTGTATGAACACCACAAACTCCAATTATTGTTGTCAGCAAATAAATGCAGTATTTGTACTATGTGAAGGATGTTTAAAATTGGTTACAACAATCATATTACTATTTCTAGTTTCAATTATTTTAAACACCTTTCCATTTTGTTTATCTTTAATTTTAATGATAAATACAATTGAATTCAAATTGTATTTTATTGGAAAATAACAGAAAAAAGAGTATGCAACGTAATTCAAATCTATTTTCATATAATACTTTCTATGGTTGATAGTAAAATGTTTACATAAATGTACACATGTACAAAAATATAAATGTTTCATGGGTGATGATTGATCATGTATGATAAATAACATGTTTAGATTTTCTAACAAAAGTGACATATATTTAAAAAAAAAAAAGATTTTAAAATTACCAAAGTCATTCAGGCTTAAATATTTACAGAAAAATGTTGAGCTTAAGAGAGAAAACTTTAATGTAATGATCCTTAAGAATGCTTTTAATATAAGCATCATATAAAGTCATTCAGCTGACATATATTATACAAACTGTATTTCTGTATGTATCTGCTTAGGTGAACACATACCTAACTTTATTATATATATTTGAATTTTTCTATACAAAACAAATGCTAGAACCTATGAAAGAGGACAGACTGTTACACCACATAATAGAAAAACCCATTTGACTGGCATAATCCTATTGAACTGTTCATTTTACACATCAGTGTACTTAGATACTGTGTTCAGAGAATGTTGTGTCAATAAAATTTATATGTAGGTAGATGCCCATACATATACATGTTATTATAAATATATACAATTTATGTATGTATGCATACACATACATAAATATATATATATAAAACAAAATTTTAAAGCCTTGTGAAATGTTCCAAAAACAGTCTGGTTCTGGGGCTGTAATGTAACATATGAGGCAGTATGTTAAATCTTTGTAACACTACTTTGGAAAATAGAATGGAAAATAATTACTACAAGGAAGCAAGCATTATATATCATTTAGTTTGACTACAACTATCAAGTTATAAATTTTTCACTGTGATAATTTTAAACTAAAACTGATGATTTAAAGTTTTTTATGGGATATTTACATGAACTTGCACACCATTTAAAAAAAAATTACACTCAAAGGAAGGTCTTTTGTTTAAGGGATTTGACGTTAATAGCTTACAACTAGCCTGGGAAAGTTAAAGCTGAGAAAAGCATTGTATTTAAAATTTAGAGTTAGAATCTTAAACAACTTTTTCAAGTAATTTTAGTATTAATTTGTTATTACCAGAGGTTCATATATAAGCATTTAAACAAGGCCTGTTGAATTGTTTGCAACATGCTGAAATTTAAAAAAAATCATTTTGTGAAAGTTTTAGCACAATTATTTGACTTTTGTTGATAACTATTACACCCGTATTTAAAAATAATTAAATGGCGCATGCATGGAATCTACATGTGTGCTATACACATTTTAGCTAGTTTATTATTACAGAGTAAACAAAGATTTATATTTGCTTGTCTCATCAAAAAACTGTTTTATTAATATATAATTTCAAATACGCTGTCCAAATCAACTAACATTTAATTCTACTAACTTGTTGAAATGTATAAGTTTATGCATTTAAAGCAATTAAATGATGTTTCAAACTTCTATATCACTTTTCATGGTTTTTCAAAATATATTTATTAACGTTGGTAATTATTAGGTTCTTAAACATTTTTAGTGATAAATAAAAAAAAAATAAATCAGGAAAAGTAATAAATAGCATTTTAACAACATACATGCATTATGAATAAAGTTAATAAATTACCAAAATACTGCGCTTACAATAAAAAAACCCAAAAGTATTGAATAACTATGTCAAGTACTTGGAGATAATTTAAGCAAATCTGGAATAACTGTAAGAGTTAACTTATTTTTATTAGCCATTTAAGAAAGCTAGGAATTCTTTTGTTATTTATAAGAAAAATGAAAAGTAGATTACAATCAAGTGACAAAAACTGTTTTCCATACATGTTTAATTTTTAGTTTAAGCACAGGGGATTAAAATAAAATTTAAAAAAATCACAGAAATATTACAATACCATATCTTTAATTTTAATCAAGGATAACTTTAAAGTTAAAATCAAAACAATGTATGCTATGATATGTAAAATTTCCCACCCCTCTTATTTTTCAGTATTAATAATTTTATATCCAAGAATAAAAACACCTGGATGAAAGAAGATAAAAATTGATTAAATAATACCAGTTCAAAAGATTTGATAATTTCACTTGATTAAAAAAGGGCAATATCTTTCCACTTAAAATATAAACTTAATGAAATATGAAATCGAATTTTAAGTTGTCTGGTGGTATCTAAATAATTTGAGATGTACAGTAATACCCTTTTGTAGGTCAAACATTTAAATTATCCACACAATGAAAATACTTGCAAATGAATTTTTTTTTTTTTTTACAAATTTTATAAGGCTGAATAAAATATATGATCATTTTTATTTATCTAGTGTTCAAAGTAAATTATGTTTGACAACAATTCTACCAAAACAAACCTAAATAAACACGATAAAGTTAATTAAAAAGATTGAACAAAGTATTGAGTATTTAATTATAAACTTTTCCTAAAAAAGTATCTTATTTTGATCATTTATTTTTTCAAGTCAAGGAAAGTTTTATATATCACATTCTGCAGTTTTGCTTAAGGAATGTTGCACAGAACATATCTAACTTGTGAACTGTTTTTGCACCAAAATTACTCTAAATACACAGAAAATGCTAACAAAACAATGTCTGAAATGATGCAAACTAGGGTATTACTGTACTCACAATTGTATATACAATTATATACATGCAAACTGAGCTGTAGAAATAAATCCATGGATGAAAAACACCAGTTTTGGAAAATGAACTTTACTAAAAAAATTACTATCTGCTAACTTTACAAAAAACCCAGTAGGTTGAAGAAACATTTCAAAAGAAAGTTGGTTAACTTAAGTTGTTAAAAGAAATCATACTATATATTCAGTTATGTTTTGTAATGATGTACATTTAAATAAGGCCACGTCCAGATTTTGTTTTCAATACAAGCATTCCTTCCTATTACAAGTAAGAACTATAACTAAATTCGTTTTCAAACCCTCTGTAAGCTATACCAAATTACATGGGCAGTTATTAGAAACCTATCAGCGGCATGTTTTAAAAGCAAAAAAATCAAGAAACAAGCTTTGCACAGGTAAGACTACTATATTCAGTGAACTAAATCATTTTAAAAATCTGCTAAGAGAAAGGTGAATTTGAAATTTTTGTTTTAGAAAAGACAATTAGAATTGCATCTCAAGTTACAGAAGACAATGAAAATTTTATTTTTTAAACTACTCCTAGCATAATAAACTGTCTAAATAAATAATTCTTTAAAAATATAGGTCTCAAATTATATAAATATTTACTAAATCAAAATTAACCATTTTGTATGTTGATCTTTTCAGACAAAATTTTATGGATAAAAACCAAAACTAAATGATCTTGCAGCTAAAATTCTGGAAAGATAGGATGGCATTGCAAAATATTGATTTATGTTGTAATTAATGCACGTTTTAAATAGTATTTATAATATTTACAAAGGCAGAGCAGCTACTTTGTTACAACTGTAAAAACAGTCATAATCAATAAGAATATTAAGTTACCTATTTTAGGACCATCATACAAGAAAACTAACAACAGTATAATAAGTGAACATATTGCAAATCTATCATCAAGAATAATTAATTATCTAAGTGCATTATATACATATCTTTATTAAGATATAGAACAATATGTGTGCTTTATTGTTACAAAACTGTGAATATATAATTAAACATTATTTTGTTTTACAAAAGTTTCTAGGATTTCTTCTGCCATTTTAATGTTGTTTCTTGCAACCCTGAGTGCATCAATCACTTGTATCCTTCCATAGCCCATAGCAACAAGAGTGTCGACATGATTATCATTAATACTAGAAGTTATCTGATCATTCTCTTTATTAATGTCTTGATTTTCACGCAGACCCTCATGACGGGGTGGAGGTACTCTAAAATAAAAAATAATTACACTGTTAGAATAATTAGTATACAAAACTGTAACTTAATTTTAAAGTTTGGTAATATATTGTAGATCCAATTAAACAAAAATAAGCTAAATGAAGACAAAATATTGGGCTCTGATGTAAAAAAAAAAGGGGCATGATTAATATTTTAATTTAAAAGACCGCTAACTGCTTATGAAAATAAGACTTTTACTAGGATATAAAAATCTTAATAAAAGTCTTGTTAATAAAATATTTCAATATTCTATATTTAACAGCTGAAGATCTCCAAGCTATTTTAATAAAATGATCACAGCTTTGGTTATCTCCATTTCATTTTCAATTTTGTTTCCATATCAACCTATCCTTCAGGTTGGGAAATAATAATATGGGATTGTTTGCAAAGTGATAATTTCTGCAGTATTCATTTCAATGTTTTTATGTTGCATTTAAGCAAGAGAAAGTTGGTTGCCTCTGTAGTCCTGCTTGGAGATAACATATCTATGTTGTCTTTGTGGAAATTTTTTTTAACTTGATTGATAGTTTAACCATTTACCAGTCTAGGCATCAAATCTATTTTACTTGCAATAGTCAGGCAAAAAGATAACGCATTTTTCAACCGTGGCACTTTTTAAATATAATTTTTTTAAAAAATAGCCACTTATGTTAAAAAAATAAAATCAGAAGTAATATACACAAAACTGAGGCATTTTTATTAATTTTATTTCACTTATTATATTGCCCGTAATTTTGAGAAAAAAATTCTTAACTAGAAAAATCTTAGAAAATGAACGGATAGTGATGGAACAACAAGAAAACACCGTAAACAAAAAGTATTTTCCCCGCTATCTTCAAAATCTTGTCATCAACAAGACTTTCTGCAACTACGCGTAAATAAACGTACTATACATAGTAGGGCGATTGAGGGTGCAAAGGCTGTACCACACAAAAAAATTCTCCGCCGACCGCGGGTGAAATGGTCTGTAAAGGGCTAAAGGTCAGCGGTTAAAAAACTGTTAATATATTTCTAGATTTCCTTAAGTTAACCGACTGAAGCCAATTTACTTACATTTACAATTACCTTTCCAAATAACATAAATCTACTTCAAACAATATTTAAAAACAAATGTAAGTTTTTGTTCTATAAATTTGTATTTTTTAAAAATCTTGTAATAAGTATTTTCTCTCAGTGTTAAGTGGAATAAAAAAGTCACAAAAAGTAAATGAATTCTATAGCGAACTCCTTACAAGGCGTTTGGTGGTGGATCTTCTTTGTAAGCTTTTGACCTAGGTGGTGGGATAGCATAGTCACTATTTAATCTGTATAAATTGGGTTTATCTTCATGGCCTGCAGCTCCAGTTCCTGCAAATTACATGATAAATTGAAATTTATTTTCTACATATAACAATAGATAGCTGTTAAAATTAAGTTCTTCAAATACACTATGTACATGCTGGTACATGGAAATAGAAATTAAACAAAATCTCTTAAGAGCCAAAACTTACCTGCAGGATGAGTCCCAGGTAAAGGTCGATCATACACACTCTCTGCTGATTGTGATGCAGATGAAGGTGATGAAGGATCATTGTCCTGTGTAGTGACATCATAACGAAGCTCTGCATATGATATACCTAGTAAATAATTTTATTCAGTAATAATCCATGGACAAAATCAGTTTATTTTAAACTAATGACATGGTAATATGATAGTAAGAGGTATGTATATTAATTGTTCTATAAATGACAAGCATTAAAATTTTCTTAATTTCAGAATTGAGTTTTGATGAGGATTAACTTAAGATGAACCATTGAAGTAGGCCACTTAAAATCCTGGTAATAAGACATTTATGTTTAATATAAAAACAACAAACTAAATAATACCTGAAAGCGAATTATTTGTGTTGAAAGTTGGTTTTGCTACAAGATTTGCTGACTCAGGACTTTTTTGCACATTATCATTAGGAGGAGTAGGTGGTAATTGCCGTCTAAAATAGATTGTGTAAATGAGTTAACATGAATACATTGGTTTCACTAAAAGGTTAAATGTTAAAACAAGTTAATAAAAAGTCTAGTGACAATTTAAGCGCAATTTCCTTATGTTATCTAAAAATAGATAGTGATCAAGTTTGTTTTTAAAAAATGTGAAAAAATTATTAGGCCTAGCGAAACAAAACCTTGTAATTGTAACTCCCTATCACTCTCATATAAATTATAAATAAATTAATAGGGTACAAAAATAACGTTTGAATTAATAAGTAAACAAATTAATTTTGCGCTAAAAAAAAAGACAACTATATTAACCTATATCAAAGCAAATAGTTTTATTTTAACGAGTAGGCCTACACGATGCTCAGTTTAAAAAGTAAATATCATCCTATGCCTACACGATGCTCAGTTTAAATGTTCTTAATTAATTTTTTGTGACCGAACAAAAGGATATTTTTGAAAACTTTCTTCGGCAATATTGTTCTAAATTATGGCAGGAATCGATTGGTAAATGTTTCAAGTCGCTAAGTGGTCTGGTTGCCGAGATATGGGCAAAAAACTGCATTTTTTTGAGGTTTTTTGGCTTTTCCGGGAAATCCAGGAAGGAATTCCGAGAATTTTTTTGGCCCACAATCATCCTCAGAACTTGCTTAACATATTTGCTTTTGAAACTAGTCCTCGATATTGCTTCGTTGAGGAGGAGATACGACTCAAAGCTGCGCACATCCATCCATCCAGAAATGACGAGTTAATAATCGCAATTCCTGTAAGGAAATTGAGCTAAAAAAAAGGACTTATACTAGTTATACCTCGGTGGCTTAGGTGAAGTGCCTGGAGATGGTAGTGGAGAAATACTTCTTGGTGGTACAGGTGGAGGAATATCTGATGCTTGGTGCACAAGCCGTTTAGACATAGCAGGAGACTCAAAAGGTGAATTTCCTTCATGGTGCTAAAAAAAATTTTTTAATGGAATTATTTTTATCATATATGCTGTTGTACTTGAAAACCAATTTATATGGGAAAATAGGGGTGATAAACATGGTATCCTTTTTTAAAATTCACTAGACAATTGACCCCCGCTTGCAATGAGAACCTGAAAAGTGAAATCTGTTGACGGTAGTATTAAGGCAACAAATGTAATGCCCAAGGACAAAAGAGTCAAATTATAGTTAACACTAAATTAATTAAGAGAATTTTACTGAAAAAAAAAAAATGAATTTCCACCCCTAATTTGTCTAAATCTAGACTCTAGATCAGTGGTTCCCAACCTTTTCAAAAGGCGACCCCTTTTATAAAATGTAAGGGACCCACGTAGAATTAAAAAGTCAAAATAAGTAAGGAAATTAATAAGCACTAAAATAAGATTTTCTAGTAGACTTTCAATATGAATTATTCTTGATTTAATATGATGAATAAAATTAAATGCTATTAAATAACCTCGACATTCGCGGTTGAGTTTTTGTAAACGCCAACCTCATGTCATTCTCAACATTTAATTTATTTCCTTGTTTTGTTTTTAATTGGAGAAATGTTGAAAATATATTCTCGCAAAGATATGTAGATACAAAAGGAAATAAAACTAGAAACGCAATCAATTTTACATTTGGGTATGAAAGGTGCATACTACACCAAAAATGAGTGAGCAGTTTTTCATTTGACACGGTAAGGGATGCGGAATCATTCTGCAAATTTTAGAATTCCTCATGTAATTCATCGGGAATGCTGGCAACATCAAGGGAAGCAGAGAATGGATTACCTGTCAATGCAGTATCTACTTCTTTCAGCACAGTGAAACAACGCCACATTTGTTTTCAAGAGACTCAAGATGCCCAGAACCCTCTTTCAAATTTTTATTTATCTCACAATCAGATTCATCTACCACACTTCAGAGTTTCTCAAACATGGCAATATATCCAAGATTTATTTTCTTCACCTATTTTGAAACTTTGGTAAAAATGCCCAGAGATTATCATGAAAAGAGATAATTGTTCACTTTTCCTGAAGCTTTAGGTTGAGCTTATGTTGATGTTCGAATATATCTGCTGAGTATGATACTCTCTCCAACCACTCTTTGAAGGTTATCAAAAGGTCTTGTTTCCCTTACACTTCCAAGAATAACTTGATTTTGTCTGTCAATTCAAAACACAATTCACAGCATTTTCTTTTGACAGCCAGCTTACTGTAGTGATCCTTATTCATGACTTTGCACAGTTCTTTAAACACACAAGGGCTCGAGATTTAATGTAGTTTACGACTTTTATTAGCAATAGATTATAATGTGAGTCTTGCTGGTATACCGGTGAATCATGTAGTGAATTCTCCTTGGCTAGGGAGCTAAATATTTTACTTTTTTCTGAAAGCCCGATTTTTGACCCAAATAGACTGCAAACCCAATTGCCGTTTTCCCATTTTAATCATCTAGTTTCAAACGGTTTTCAGAAATATATACTTACGAGCCGACCCGCGGCATATTATATGCCGCTATTTAGTTGTTTTATTTTCTAATTTTCAGTAATTCATAATTTGTGAATTCGACAGTACCGACGCCGCCACTGTAAATATTTGCTTTAAAACACTATCAGTAGCTCGTTTAGGACTATAACCCCCCTCCTTTCCCCAACCCCTACCCCACACCGTCACCAGTGAAAGTAAACTCCTCTTAGTTACCTCCCCTAAGTTTAAAATCGTTTCAAACTAAATTATCTGCCCCTAATAGCCGTCACTAAACCCGGCTCTACGATTGTAAAAATTTAGAGTGAACCACAGCTCACCAGACCATGTAGGGGTGGGGGTGGTAGGGAGCGCGCTTACAGCTTGATTTCTATCGTCTCCAAGAAGAGAATTATATATAGATAATTGTAATTTTTGCATTTTTATCCATATTTTACATTTGAATAAGCCTTTTCTTTATACAAGTATTTATTCCGTCAAATAAAAATGTATAAATTTTCGAAACGGGAAAGCACTGGTGAATTTTAGTAACATACACATACAGATATACATTAAGAAATAGTTATCTTTTTTTTATACCATGTTGCACATTAAAAATAATAACTTTAGTAGTACTTACTTTGGATCCTACTGCTAAAGCATGTAAAGATGACATACCACCTCCATCCTATTTTTAAAAATAAAGATTACATTATTAAGAAATGCTACAACAATAGAGTACACATAGTTGATGTTGAACTCACAGTAACATTGTTTCTTTGATGCCCCATATTATGAAATGAGCTGCTAATCACAATGTTTTAAAAGTTTAAAACTTTAATTACTTTGTAGGAAAAAAAATATTAAAAATAGTCAGTTTCTGCACAATACACTATATTTGAACAAAAACATTGAAGTTACTAGAGGGGTTAAAGTAACTTTTCTGTATCCACAGGTTTTAAGATATTCCAAGGACAATTTTTTTTTAACCACGTTAAAATTAGATATATTACAAAAAAAGAGCTTGTAGAATGTTGTGTGGTCTTGCGTCGTAAGCCTCAAGGTCAAGCATGAATCAAAGAGTCTATGTAAGCCTCAAGGTCAAGCATGAATCAAAGAGTCTAGGTCACGTAAAAGCTTTCAGTCGTTTTTTTCTTAAGGACAAAGCAGAGTTCTGTAAAACCTGAAACATCTCTGCTGGAGGTAATCTTAAAAAAGAACGACGGTAAAATTACATATAAGGCGCAGCCAAGCTGATGTACATAAATGACTTAACAAACTGAATTTTACTCCAAACGATATCTATCTTCATTAGTAGTTTAGACAGCCACACAACATATGGCATAAAAAGTTTGGTCTACAGACCCAACCACCTCTCCATTAATTATTTTTTTAGGACTGCCTGCACCCTTTGACTAGCCTTATGAAAAATAATGGTTAAAATCGAGAGGTAGGCTACACAGTGTTCATGATCACTCTTTCAATAAATAATTTTTTTTTATATATAGCTGTAGCACATACACACTGCAGACTGCAACAGTATGTTTACACACCGTAGACTAGCTATTACACATCCCTGAAAGTGAAAGCAGACCGCACTGGGTGACACCATTTAGGGGGGTGACACCAAGGCAAAAAATAGCAAAATAGATAGAGAAAAACTTAAGGGGGGGGGGTGCAGTTCGATAGTTTGAGGGGAAGGGGTGCAAATTGAAAATTTGTCCCCGGGAAGGGTCGCTACGCCTCTGGGGGGTGGTGGGGGGTGGTGGTGGTGACACCATTAAGTGCCGCAACGGGTGACATCCGACCTCCCTACGCCACTGCCTGAATGACCTACACTAGTTACTGAGTGAACAGCATTCTTCTGTAAAACCAGGAATCAGTCATAAAGCATGAGGGGAAGATGCGACCATTGGAATTGGAATATTGATAGCGAAATGGAAAAATAGATCGGCTTAAAAGATTTCTGATATTTTTTCAAAGAAGTCAGTTGGTGAAAAAATATTTTTTTAAAGCGGAAAACTGCAATGTGTGTAGACAAAAATAGTGTCTGATACGTAGGTATAAAAACAAAGCTATTTACAGACATTAATACACTTCAGAGAATTATTCTAATTTAAAATCCACATTTAAATATGTGAACTCAGTTATTTGACTAAGTTTTCCAAGATAATCCATGAAAGAAAAAAGTTAAGTGCGAACCACCAAGATGTATTTGTAGGAAAAAAAAAACAAAACAATAATTAAACTGAATTATTTAAGGCAATAAATCAATTTGGGCATTTAGGCAAACGAAGAACTATTATTACTAAAATTTTCAACATCCAAAAGTTACTAGGCTTTAAAGCAAAAATAACCATTCGTCATTTTTTTATAATAGTGTATGAATGTTACATATATTTTGTTTGGAAGTCCCACAGGGACTAGGCATGAGTTGCAGTCTTAGAATAGGGATTTTTTAGGGTGTGGAAGTATTAGTGCAGTGAGCCAACATACAATTTTGCATAAAGCTGGGTCGTCTAGTAAAATATATGAATAAATAAACAATGCCTTGGGGGTCATTAGGGCACCTCAGATTTGTGTTGTGTGTCTAGAGTGAAGTGTCACATGTTAGCGCCTACCCCTCTCCATGTCTGACCCAGGAATGTGACCAGACAATGAAAAACTTTTTTGGACAAAAACTCAATATATTTTATCTCGGTTATATCTAATAATTTAAATAAAAGACATTTATGTTTCTCTAAAATATAAATGAACACCTGTCTCGTTGCAATTTAATGTTTACCTTATAAACAACTTTAAAAACCAATGTTTTTTTTTACAATTAAATTTAGTGGAAATAAAGTTTTATTTAGCATTTAAAGCTAATTTAAACTGTATTCATCTAGTTGTACTCTTTCAATTATTCCTTATAATATAAGTTATATTCTTTTAAAGATGGGCATGGTAAAAATGTAAGTCTTTACTGTAAAGAATCCAGACTTAGATTTATTGTATTTGAAAGTTTTAGTTATGTTACAGAAAATGAAAACTGGACCAGATTAGCTGAAATTAGAAAGGGTCTGATATTTATTTTAAAAAGTGTTTTGGAATTTATACTTTTAAAAACATTTGAACTAAAACTAACCATTTTGACAGCCAAGCCACATATTTATGTTTTTAGAGTAGTTGAAGATTGTTGTTAAAATAGCCTGTATAATATTTTTTTATTCTACAAACAGGACAGTCGGGGGTCACAGTGAGTTCACATTAGTTTTAAAATCAGTATAACATTAGTAGCGTAAGTAATAGCAAGACCGTGGCTATATGAGATTGGCTGTGACATTTTTATTTTCCCCCAAATAAGCAGTAACAAACACCTGCATGGGGTCATGGTGAGGTCACAAGAGCCATCATGGCTTAAAAAGAGGGGCGGGGGAGCCTAGTCCTCATAGTTACCTTTTGCAATCATTTCAATTTTTTAAGTTGCAAAATAAAATAGAAGCAGAGAGAAATGGTAGATTTGGGTAGCTTTAAAAAAAAAAGAGGCAGTTCAAAATGATAAAAAATGGTACTTAATTTTTGTAAAAAAAAAAAAAAAAAAAGATTTTTACACCTCCCTGAGTACCGTTACAGCTGGGTTGATGAAATTTCATATATAAGTAGTATATCAAATTGGGTGAGTTCATACAAGTGACCGTAGTTTCAAGGAGGTGCGAGGTAGTCTAGCTTTAATCGTCAGCATTTGCAAAGATTTCAAAAACAGTTTAACGGAAGGTGGATTAAAATTAAAGGGGTCATCCAGTTATGACGTCCACATTGCGGGGGGAGGGGTCCAAAGATTTTGTGGACGCTTGTAAACTTTGGAGGCGTCCACAAGTTACACTTAACATCGAAGTGCTTACATTCTAAAACAAACATAAAACTTGTATCCAGCTTGTAGAAAGTGAAATTAAGACGACTGCTTGTGTTTTAAAAACCAGCACAGCGTGTAAATAAAGCACAGCATTTATATCTACCCTAACATTATTGCAAGAGCTTGTCGTCACACTTTCTGAAGCCTCCAACCAACTTTCTGGAGTGTGACATCAATTATAGACGACTCCTAAAGAAAAATAGTACCTCTTTGGTAAGCGACCGCTGAAGCAAACAGAAATACAGGTATGAACCCAAGGAGGCCTTGCGACTAATTAATCTTATAAATGCTAATTTATTATTATTATTATAATAATAGCTATGATTTATTATGCTAATAAAACGTGAGTGAACGTGTGTGGCCATGGGGTGGGGGGTCTAAAATCTGAAAAAAAAAAATTTGGACGTCATAAATGGATGATCCCTTACAGACAAATAAATTATATCTAAAGTATCACTCACACACCTCCCCCATAATTTTTTTTATGACTGACTGACTGCATGCAAACTCAGACAATGAAAAATAGCGTGTAAAATCGAGAGCCTAACAATTCTGAGGGCGATCATTCTTTCATTAAATGACAATTTTAAATACTCGTAACACATTCACACTGTCAGTTGCGCCACACTATAACTCTTCCCCTCCCAATGACCTAGTAACTGAGCATCCGTTTTTTTTCTCCTGCAAACCCACGAAAAACACAACATAGTGTAAACCCGCGATTTTGCGCGGGGAAAAAAAAAAGGAGTTTATTCATTTTTTTTAGTTGGAAAATATGGACTTCGAAGTTTTGTTTCTAAAACTAGATTCCAGACTTTTTCCCGACTTTAAAAAATCCAGCCCAAAAAAAAAAAAATCCAGCCAAGCGATTTTCCAGACTTTTTAAAGTCTGAAATTCACTTTTATAAATTCAAGACTTTTTCCAGCCTTTCCAGACTGTGTACGAACCCTGGGAATACTACAGCATTATCTTGTAACTAGGTGTTTTATAATATCAACGCATATATATACGCATATGAGCATAAGAAAGTGCAAAAAGCATTTTAAAAAATCTGCAATAGCACTTTTCTGTCCAAAAAGTGTGAATTCTAGTCCAAGACATTTCTTCCTCTTTCCAGTTTTCAAACTTTATGGGAACCCTAACTAACTTTTATTAATTAGATTATCTATTCATGTAACAATTTTAAAATAAATAAATAGACCTGCACCTCATCATCATCTAAGTCCTGAGTTGGTGTTTTAGTACCAGAGGATGCCTTCAGAACTTGCCTTTCATCAAATGGGTCTACTATTACTTGCTCTGTACCTTTTATTTCACATCGGCACCATGGACATCCTTGACCATCAGAATCCTAGCAACATAGCAAAACTAAACAAAATAAGCTGTTCATTTTTTTTGTACAGAATAAATAAATATTTTCAGTTATAAAATTTCTAAAATAGCTAGTACATGCATGCATACCCAATCACTTAGAGGAGGGCCAAAAATGAAAATAAGGAATTTTACTATTTAATTGCCCTACTTTTTTTTTAATGACGTTTGCAATGGTAATGTCTGACAGAAAAGACTATGCCATGTTTTTGTTAATATCTTTTTTGTTTACATTTTACTTAGAACTTTCCCAGATTTTGACAAGGATATTTAAGGCTTTTGATTAGGTAGATACAGTAGGCATATTTGAATAATACCACTCAATAAAAGGAGTTGTATTTGTAGTACAAGATTCAACAGAAAAAGCATTCAGTAACATTTTTGTTAGACATTGGCTAGCCATGAAATGGGTGTATACCAGGAGGATTAAAATGAATGAGGTCATGTATGTTTTACTAACTCACCTGCCATTGAGTTAAACATGGTGTACACAATAAATGCCCACAAGGTTCTAATCTAATGTCTTTATCATTTTCAGCACAAATTTTGCATTGTTGAAATGTTGAGCCCATCTCACAATAGAGCTCATATTGTTCCTATTGAAATAAAATAATATTAAAAAAAAAAATTGTAGTAAACAGCTTTTTAAATGTACTTGCTAACATACATAAAAAGAATTTGCAAAAAAAGAAACATTTCTCTGATAAGCCAAAAATAAATAATTTAAGACAAAAAAAACCCTAACAATCTTACATTATACACATCAGATATGAGCATATTTGTATATATGTTTAGTTTTTAGTAAACATATTGCTAGTAGCCAAACTGTTTATCTTCACCTTACATTTTTACTTTTAGTGATACTTCCGGTTTCTAAAAAGCCGATAACTTGAGTACCACTAAGGTTTAGCAAATGAAATTTCACATACAAGAATTAAATTGTACGCCCAAGTTTTTGTTATCTTTTGAGGGATTTCCGGTAACCAGAAGTGGTGCTTTACTATTTCCTGGGAACACTTTAACTTTAGAACTCTTTTAGTTACATAGATGAATTTTATTTTATAAGTAAACAATCTTATCCTTAAGATCACTTTCTATTTTAGTGTGCCTTTCAGGAAGTGGTATTTTATTTCTGGTTTTGAAAAATGCTAAACTGTTAGAAAGGGCCATAAGCAGTAAAAATGCTCTAGGGTATTGATGATAAAATCCATTTCTAGAAAGCCAAAATTTTGCAAACCCGGAAATTTTAAAATTTACATTCTATGAATCCAGAAAGTGAAAAAATATAATTTAAGAATCCGGAGAATTCTGGAAAAGTGACAAAACTTTTTTTTCTAACTAAGGATGAGTAAAATATCAAGGTTTATCAAAATCTCAATTTAGATTTCTCGCACTTTTACAGTTAAGTCCTCTATACCTTTTCGTAGAGAAGTTTAAAAAAAAATTAAAAATATCAAATCTCATTGATTTTTTTGCACAATAGCAAATAAGTAATCTATATTCTGTATATGAGAAAGTAAAATGAAGAAAATGAAATGGACAATTATTTTAATTTTTGTTTAGTAATGGCATTGGTTGCAAAAAGAATCTTTCCAATACCCTTGACAATCATTAATTTGGCTAAAGAACATTTGCATCTATTTTATTTTTAGTGCATTAGAAGGTTATTATTTTTAAGGATTTTAAAATAAGTATTATTGATCTAAGTACATCCATTTGAAAATCATTAGTAAATGTCAAATTATTTAAAATTAATTTAATAAGCATTGCATAGACCAATTACCTGTGTTACACGAATATGATCCTCTTCGCTATCAGCAACAAGGAAACTAAGGTCAGGATTAAGAATGCGGCCATCAGGATATAAAAAGCTGTAATAAAGTTAAAAAAATAATTTACAAAACTTGATATTAGTAAAAAAACTTAACAAAGCATCGCTATTATTATTATTATACTGCAGATAGATTGTGATCGTTTACATAATCCTGATGTAACAAACAGTATTAAAGAAATGATAATTAATTAAGAATTTGAATTTAGTATTAAGCCTTATACAGTGGTAACTTCAGATATGAGTACCTTGACATACAAGATTCTGTAGATACAAGCTGTTGGGAGAGCTAAAATTTGCTTTGAGACAAGAGCAAAATTTAAGATATGAGTAACCATATGAGATGTATGGTTAAACAATTGCAACTGATTGTGCTTTGGAGATATTTTATTGACCCTTACCTAATTCATTTCCTAAACTTTCAGAAAGGGAGGAAAAAGCAGTTACAAAAACTAAGTGAAAGTATATCGAAATATTATTGGAGATATATTTAGGTTCATTTATGTTTGGTGAAGTTTAAGGTTCTTCAAGTTTAAGGATAAAGTAGAGCATTAAGAAGAAAAAAAGTGATTTTAAGTAATTGAAAGAGTTTAGCATGAACACTAACTGAATAAAGTGAAGCTCCTCCACATATCTCCTCCTACCTACATTGGGTCTACACTTCCACCATCATCTTCCGTAAACTCATGCCAGCTGATTTTCAAAGTAAATATGCTTTGTAAAACCAGTTTATTTCTTTGTATTATACTTTATTAAATAATAAGGTCTACATTTTGGGGACTGGAACCGATTAATTAATTTCAATTGAGAAAATTGCTTTTAGTTATGAGCAATTTGACATATGAGCAATATTATGGAACTAATCAAAGTTAAACTCGTATCTTGTGTTACCACTGCATGAGCTACTGCTTTTTATTTTTGAGTGTTTAGCGTGAAAGATAAGTATTTAAAATGAACAACTTTTTTCAGATTTAATGAATAAAATTTTTATTCACAACAGATTGCAACTTTGAAACATGTTGAGTGGTTACTTTAGTAATAAGGTATTTTACAATTTACTTTCTTCCTAAGAGTCAAAATATAAGCTATTAGACCAATTTATGATGTTTATATTTAATTTTTTTTTAAATAATGAAAAAGTAACATACAATCCTTCTCTTTGACCATCCAAAAGAGCTTGACAAAGAGACTTATTTTGTGGTATAGTTTGAAGTATCTGCCTATCAGTTGTTACATAGCCTATAGCCCACTGTCCTAATCTTGTACAGCTTAACCTAAACACATAGCTGAAAGAAAAGTAGGTTCATTAAGCTACAAAAGATCTGGTATTTCATTATGTATGGTTTGTTGATATGTTAGAACAATTTAAACCTGACATTCTATGTCAGGGCGGGTGAGGTAGATTTCACCTGTTTCAGTGATCTTTATACTTTAAAGTTAACAGTCAAAGGCTCTATGATTTGACTATTTTGAAGTTATAAATATGTGAAGTAATTTTAACACCACAGAAAATGATTCAACTGCCTACATTCTACTTCCACATCAAGTAAAGCAAAAATACAGTTCTGGGTGGTGAAGCAGAGATTATTAGTTTCTATGGCCATTTGGCTGGTAGAGTTCACCATTTTCCATGATCACAGTATGTGAAGAAATAAATGTTTTCATTTTTATAGCCAGCTAACTTTACTTTCCCTATTTTGAGCTAGGTATCCATCAAACACAGGATCTTAACTCAAGACTTAGGATTAACAGTCAGCATATTTGCATATTCTACACCAGATAGCATAAACTAAGCAAAAAATGTTTAAAAAGCTTTAAAAAAGGATCAAACATCATAATATAAATAAAATACCACATAAGGAATAATGTCTGATTAATAAAATTATGAAGAAAGAAAACAAAAATCTAACAGTAATACTATTTTTTAATTTAAAATTAATTTAAAAAAAAAATACTTCAAATTTGTTGCTTAAAAATATGGCCATTTGGCTGGTAGAGTTCACCATTTTCCATGATCACATTATGTGATAAAATTAATGTTTTCATTTTTATAGCCAACTAACTTTACTTTCCCTATTTTGAGCTAGGTATCCATCAAACACCAGATAGCCATAAACTAAGCAAAAAATATTGTTAAAAAAGCTTTAAAAAAGGAAGTTGAAATTAAGAGCTCTAGAAAATAGCATTTAATTGAACAGATACACTAAATTCAGCCAACTAATTAAAAAGAAGTTTTAATATTGTTTTTTTTAATTATTTTTTTTGTTGTCAAGAGAGAGGTGGGAGGTTAAGAAATGACTGCTGGAGCATTATTTAATAAAATACTTTAAAAAAACTTTTAAAAAAAACCCACGTTTTTCTTGTGGACTAAAAAGTAGAAAACAAATTTTTCTTCCGACCCTAGGGGATCTACCAATGACTGCTCGTAGATTTTGTGCTTCCTCGAGCTGTGCAGGTTCTTGTGATGACTGTTCATACATTTGATGACAAAAAACGTCGGAAGAAAAATTTATTTTCTACTTTTTAGTCCACAAGAAAAACGTGGTTTTTTAAAAAGTTTTTTTAAAGTATTTTATTTTCTCCTTTTTAGTCCGTTACTATAAGCGATGAAAAACGTGGGGCGCCGAAGTAAAAGGTATATTACTATTGATTAGATAATACTATTGACTTTTATTAGGGAGCTTGTAAAGAGTCAACAGTATTAGAAACTGTAAGAAAATCACGGCGCCCCACGTTTTTCATCGCTTATAGTAGAGTGATCGCTTGCATTATTGTGATGTATAGCATTTATTTTCTACTTTTTAGTTCAATCAGAAAACGTGGGTTTTTAAAAACTTTTTTAATGATAATCATTTTCTACTTTTTAGTCTTTGTCTGTTTGGTTGCATTAAAATCTTGCTATCGATTTTATCTTTTCGCATTCACTTTTTTTTTGGGTAAACGAAGACAACTCGTAAAAAACACTTGCCTTGAACCCGTGTCGAGTGGGTTAGCAATCGTGTGCCCAACCACTCGACCATATCGTCTCCCCCATACTGGCCACCAGTTGTTCCGGTTGTTTGTACACAAACACCACGTGAACACTACTCAGTAAGCCAAAAGAGGGAGAGTACCGAACCTTGTTTTCATCAAATTACAATTACTGGGTTATGTCCCCTTTTCCCCCCACGTTTTTTTTGTAGAAATATATAGCGGTCTAAAATGATCAATAAAATGTTTCCATGGATCAATTTAGTAATAATAACAATTGAATATTGTATTGTTATCGGAAACAAAGCTTCCCTGAAAATGTCAGCACGCTAGCTAACTGGGAAGTGCCCGAAATTTCGATTGCAAGATTTGATTGGAAAAACAGACGCGAAAGCAAGTTAAAGAAAATGTGGGAAAATAAATTATACACTACTATTTAAATTATTATAAAGAAAAGCGTGGGTCTCTTCCTAAATATTAGTAAAGGTATCCAATAGATACTAAAGTGGCCCACGCTTTTCTTTATAGTAATTTAAATAGTGTATAATTTATTTTCTACTTTTTAGTGCATTATTACATAAAAGCTTGTTATTATAACGTTTTTATGAAATTTTTTTTTGTAAAATAAATGTAAAGATGATGTTATATTCTTTTGATAAATGTTTGAGCACTCAGCTAAGCTGACATGTTGCGGTGGTTGTACCACATTTATGACTCAGTGTTGAGCGAAGGCGTTTTTTCTGTGTTATGTTGGGATCAATTCACATAAGAATGAGACATGGCCTAGGTAGTAGCTGATGTTTGATCTCCACTCAACAGACCTTGTTTATATAATGAGTTAAAGTCATTACGTAATTTTAAAAATTGAGATTCATTTTATAAAATTCTGAGATAAAATTCTATTTGTTTTCGTTTCATAGAAATTTTTTTTTTTTTATCACTTCTTGTAATGCAAATACATCTTTTTTTAAAATTATATCTACTTGGACATATATTAAAACAAAATATTCATGCTTAGAATTGTGTTCATTATAATAATCCCAAACTCAGATTTATCAACAGTCTATGAGGTAATATAGTGTTAAACTTTTCTTATGCAGCCTTTGAGCATTTGTAGTTAGAATCTGGGTTCAAGTCAGTAGACCGTCCCTGAGTCCACCCAACTCTGATGGGTACCTAACTCACGTTAGGGAAAGTAAAGGCAGCTGGGCATAGTGCTGACCACATTATCTCTTCATATGCAGAGGTCACAGAAACAAGTAAACTCTACTTCACTTGCCCTATAGACCATCATGTTTGAAAGGGAACTTTACATTACTTTATCAGGCATTTGTCCCATTTGTTCCTATTACAGGCGCTTATAATTTGGCAGGCTCATGCCTTGGGCGAAACTAAGATCGGGGCCGGTGCCAGTCGGCAGCAATGTCTACGATGAGAGGGTCAAAACTGACCTTGATTGACCGGCGCCTTATGTGAGCTATACCGAACAACCCCAATTGATATTTTGTGAGGTAGTAGAAAAACGCCTATGGCTGTCAGAAAAAAACTTGCCGTATCTGGGAAAACTTCGTAAAGTGGTCAAAACTGACCAGTCATTTTTCCCTATATAATCTTTGTAATTCATGTGAGAAACAGAGGGTAATTTCAACACATATTTGTGTATTTAACTTCTGTACATCTGGCTAATTTTTTTTTATGCACGTAAATGGTTACACCATAAGGGAAAACTGTAGGTTTGATTCAAAGCCCTCGAAGAGGACTAAAACATGACCGCAAGTGGAATTCTCCTTATTTGAGCTATATATCGAAAAAAACTTTTGCCGAACACCCCTTCTTGATATTTTGTGAGGTGATAGATAAACGCTTAGGGATGTTAGGAAAAAAATCGCCATACCCGGGAAAAATCTGTAAAGTGGTCAAACTGACCAGTCGTATTTCCCTACATAATTATTGTAATTTATGTGAAAAACAGGGTAATTTCAACATAGATTTTAGGTTACTTATCCTCTGTACACCTGGCTAATTTTTTGCATGCACCTCTATAGATGACTAGGCCGTATGGAAAAACTGTTGTCAGACTCTAGGCCCTCAATGAGGGCTAAAAAAATGACAGCGACTGAAATTCTCCTTATATGAGCTATATATGGAGAAATTGCAGAACGATCCCCTTAATATTTTGTGAGGTAGTAGATCGACACTGGAGGGTAACACAAAAAAAGTTTATTCCCGTCGTCATGTTCACATACTCATGTACACACACACTCAGACACTCATCAATTTGCTTTGGCTAAGGTGGTAAATGTTCCTAATGTGATAAGCTTATTTTGCACTTTGTTGGTTACCTACATCATCTTCAGTCACTAAGATCATATTGTTCACCTTCCCAGGGTAGCATCCACCCAGGCATTGTCTTTTGAATTTTCTATTTTGTTGTAAACTGACTGCCTTTGATTTTGTTCTCTGATGACTGTCTCATCTCATCATAGATGAAACTACCACAGAATACAGTAGTAATCCTCTCATTTTTTTTTGGAAACCAACCAGGGTGTGGACTTTATTCTTCAGCAGCCTCTTGGTCAGAATGCCCTTCAGTCCATGTTGCATTGCATATAGAATGCTATACCAACACATAGGCAGAGCACATTACTGACAGACAGAATATTTCAAAGAACATCACATTGCAGCCTATCTTACATCAGTCAGGACATCCTGGCCGGGGTGCAAATGGTTGGCAAATGTAAAAAAATATGCTGTCAATTTTAAGATCTTTGAACATTGGCCAAGAGAGCCAGTCAGCGTGTGCACTTCAAGATTCTGCCATACATATGTGCATTTAATGCACTACAGTCATCTAGTTATAATTCAAACATCTAAAATGTCAACACTAAAACACTTAAAACAAGTATACTTATTCTGCACAAAAAAAATAATTCTCAAAAATATAAATAGGTATTAATATTAAATAGTTATACATTACCTCCCAGGTTTACTAATATATTTCTGCAATCTAGCTTTAACTTCATCATATGTTAAAAAAGCTACATATCCAGGATGTGCTACTGCTAATACATTCCAGTTGCGAAGAAGATTAACCCATGGTTGAAACAGCCTATAATAATAATGTAATTTAAAATCAATATTGTATTTTGTATATTCATATACAAACTTTAGTATTAAATGGATTTTTTTAAATTAAAAAAATATATTTAAAAATTATTAATAACTTAAGAAAACCATGCCAACTATTGTTCTAGACCGCAATAAAAGAGACCAGTCAAAGGATGTGCACATTTAACATAAATTGAAAAGCATTTAGATTTGACATAAACACATTTTTTTTTCAGCTTTTATATCAAACAAATGCATTTTTTAAAATTGTTGATTTTCATTGTGCTTTAAAGTAGACATTCATAAATGCCCAAGAAAATATTAATGGAGCTAAAAAGTTTATATG